GTAAATTTTGCTGTAAAGAAAGTGAATTCAGCAACGTTTTTTTGTTTAGAAAAAAATAATTCAGCTGACATTTGTTGAAATGCGTTTAGCAATGTTTTATTTTATAAAAGTTAATTCAGCGAAGTTTTTTATACTAAAAAAAATTTTTTTGTGATCATATTCAGCATACTGTTTTATATATTCGTTGGAAAAATATTCGAATTCAGCTAAAGTTTTCTTTACAAAATATTAGCTATAGCATTAAATTAATTCAGCAACGGGTTTCTATAAAAAATATAGCCACAAATTTATATATTGGTTGAAAAACGAGAATTAAGCAAAAGTTTTCTTTAGAAAATATTAGCTCTAGCGGTTAAAAATCATATTCAGCAATGTTTTTTGTTTAGATAAAGTTAATTCAGCAACGGGTTTCTATGAAAAAAGCCACAAATTTATATATTCGTTGGAAAAATATTCGAATTCACCAAAAGTTTTCTTTAGAAAATATTAGCTGTAGTGATTAAAAATCATATTCAGCAATGTTTTTTTTTGTTTAGATAAAGTTATTTCAGAAACGGTTTTCTAAAAAAAAAAAACCAAACATAGTTTTCTTTAGAAATATATTTTTCTTTTTTGTTTAGATAAAGTTAATTCAGCAGATAAATTAACTAGATAAAGTTAATTTCTATAAAAAGATAAAGTTAATTTCTATAAAAAAATAAATATTGCCACGATCTTCTCTCAGTAATTAGCAATTTTGACAAAATTCATATCAACAGGACTTACGCGAATTCAGCAAGTTTTCTATAAAAATATTAATTTAATGTAGCAGTTTTTATAGAAAAATTAGTTAGCGACGATTTTTTTTTGCTCTGAATGCGTAACTCAACTACTTCTTTCTATAAAAAATTAAATATTCAGCAAACTTTTTTGCTTAGATAATGTAATTCAGCAACGGGTTTCTATTGAAAATTTAATTTTTTGTGCTTAATACGAAAGTTATTAATCAATCATATTCAGAATAGTTTTTTGTTTAGATATACTTAATTTCGCAACGGTTTTCTATTGAAAATTAATTTGTTTGTGCTGAATGCAAAAGTCAGCTACTTTTTTTCTATGCAAAAATCACATTCAGCATAGTTTTTTTTATAGATAAAGTAATTCAGCATCGGGTTTCTATTGAAAGTTTAAAAGTTTTTGTGCTAATACGAAAGTCAGCTTCTGTTTTCTATACAAAAATCACATCCAGAAAAGTTTTTTGCTTAGATAAAGTAATTCAGCAAAGGGTTTCTACAGAGCATTGTAATTTTTTGTGCTGAATGCAAGTCAGCTACTTTTTTCTATATAAAATCATATTCAGCAAAGTTTTTTGTTTAGATATAGTAATTCAGCAACGTGCTGAATGCGAAAGTCAGTTACTTCAGAAAAGTTGTTTGCTTAGATAAAGTAATTCAGCAATGGTTTTCTATTGGAAATTTAATTTTTTTGTGCTGAATGCGAATGTTAGCTACTTTTTTCTATACAAAAATCACATTCAGCACCATTTTTTTAGATAAAGTAATTCAGCAATGGTTTTCTATTGAAATGTTGAATTCAGCTATATATTTTTTTAATAAAAATCAATTTTGGACATGTCTACTTGGGGAAACGTTTTTTTTTATTTTTTTAATACTTTTGGAAATAAATCTTAACTCTTTCCATTTTTTGTTCTTTTGCAGCACATGGGTTCCCGCGAAGGTGTAGCTGCCAAAATCGATGCCGATACCCGCGTCAAATTGGCCGATATGGAACGTGCCATCGGTTCCCGCAAGGAACCCGTCATTCAAGAAATCTTGCAATATGTTTACAACATCAAGCCTGAAATCCACAAGAACTACCACCACAAGAAGTAAATTCGCCATCGGCTTGAGAAGGAGGAGGTGCACGTGCAAAATACCGAATCACCCCCAACAATAGAAACAATGCTAATCACACAACCCAATACTGCTACTCTTAGCTTATATATTTGTATTATTCTTAATGTGTTCTGATAATAATCAAATATTAAGCCAAAGCGCCAGCAAAAAATTATTAGTGTTGAAAGAAAAAACTTCTTGTGTATATTTTTGTTTTCATTTTACAATTTATAATTTGTTTTTCCTTTTCCCCGGTTATTCATCTAACATTTTGAGGATAAAGTGACCAAAAAACAAAGAATTCCATCTTAAAAAAAAAGAAAAGCCTTGGCTTTAAGTTTAAGAAAAGACCCCCCCACTATTATACTTTTTTTTAAAAAAAAGTGTGTATTTCTTTTAGTTTCAATTAATATTTAGAAGAAGAAAAAAGTATGTATTATTGTTGTTGTTGTCTTTAAATAAAATAAAAAACATTATTAATAAAAAAACAAAACAAATAACCACACAAATAACAGAAAAGAGAAATATATAGATAACATGAGGAAGTAACACACAAATATTACTATTAATAATAATAATTGAATAGACTAATATTTCCCCAAAACAAGTGAAATTCATTTTTTTCATGTTCGGTTCTGTTCTCTTTTTATTTGTTTTTCTGTGTTAAACAATCAGTATCAAAACAAAAAAGAACGCAGATTTTTTGTTTCTTTCGTTTCCATGTATTATAGATGTCTTATATAATAATAAAAAAGTTCTCTTTAAATTAAAAGTAAAATTGTTATTGGATTTGGGTTCTCAAAAATTTTGGCAAAATTGTTAGGAAAATTTAAAAAGGGTTCATTATTCTACATAAGCCCAAAAAGGCAGGTGATTTTTGTTTTGGGTAATTAACAAAAAAAAATGCATGTGATATGACGATTATCACGTGAAGGTGTTAATTTTTTGTTTTCAGATTACTCAAGGCCCTCATGTACACTCACACACATACACAATGACATAAAAAGAAACAACAACAAATGATAACAAAAGTTTGAGTAATTTGAGATACACGGAAGTTTTAAAAAAAAATACAAGAAAAAAGTGTCAGTCGATGTTGCCGACGGATATATACCCCCGACCTATGGTTTGTGGAGGTCTTCGGAATTAAACAGGGATGGTCCGTGTGACGAATTTTTAGGTTTTCGACCGTCAAAAAGGTGTAAACGTCGATAACGTCATATACCTGTATAAAATGTAATAAATGTAGTAAACGTCGTTTATTTCAATATTATCAGCAAATAAGGTTATTTTCAAGAATATATATTTTTTTTACATATATCTGACTATTCCTTGCTAGAACTGATAAAAATTTCTAAATTTTTTTGAGAAGAAAATTTTCAATTTTTTATGGATTTGAGTAAAGCATGCGTAATTTCCAAATTGATTAAAGGAAATAGCTATTTTGTCAAAAACCTAATGGATTTGGGTAGGTTTCCGACGTTTCTGACGTATGTATTATACGTCGGAAATGTATGTCATTTACGTCACTGTTTCTGACAGGCCATCTCTGGAATTAAACACAGATTTTATATAAGATATATATTTGTATCAAAGACGTGATCAAATCGGCTCTTCAATTCGCTTCATATGAAATTTATATGTTTATAAAATATTGACCCTTTGTGAGGGTACCGGTATCGTAAGGAGGGGACTACTGGGTCTCATCATCGGATTTGATCGAGGCTTGGCAAAGATAATAGGTTATGCAAAGTTTAGCTTCAATCAGACTTTCCATTCGCCTGATATTGCATTTATTGACAATTTTTACCAGCAGGAGTGGACCTATGGTTCCGATCTTTGGACTTCGTCTATACTTGGTTAAGGTAGTAGGTGGTACAAAGTTTCGTTCAAATCGGACACTCCGTTAAAAAATGAACTTTTACACAATACTGACCATTTGTGGGGGAGGTTCGAGAAGGAGTGGACCAATGGGTCCCATCTTCGGGCTTTATTTAGGTTTGGTAAAGGTTATAAATTGTGCAATGTTTGGTTCAAATCGGACATTTTATTCGCCTGAAATTGGGTTTATAAATATTGAAAATGTTGACCTTTTTGTGGGGGATGTAACAGATGGAGTGTTGACCTTTTTGTGGGGGATGTAACAGATGGAGTGGACCAGTGGGTCCGATCTTCCTACTTGATCTAGGATTGGTAAAGATAATACGGTATGCAAAGTTTGTGTCAAATCAGACAATCCATTCGTCTGATATTGGATTTATAAATATTGAAATTTTTGAAACTTGGTGGGGGAGGTACCAGAATGAGGGGATCAATGGGTTCCATCTTCGGACATGATCTAGGATAGGTTAATATAAAACGGTGTGCAAAGTTTGGGTCAAATCGGACATTCCATTCGCCTGATATTGGACGTATAAATGTTTGAAAATGTTGACGCTTTGTGGGGTAGGTACCAGAGGGAGTGGACTAATGGGTCCAATCTTCGGGCTTGATCTAGGATTGGTAAAGATATAACGGTGTGCAAACTTTGGGTCAAATCGGACATTCCATTCGCCCGATATTTGACGTATAAATGTTTGAAACTTTGGACTCTTTGTGGGGAGGTACCCGAAGGAGTGGATCGATATTCGCCATCTTCGAAAGAAAGAAACATGGGTTCTAAAAACCAATATTTCGATGAGGCAAAATTTTTACCGAATCAAATTGTATATATCCTCATTAGCCATAAGGATGAAGACACATAACTAGCCCTGCAAGTGTATGTTTTTTTTTTAAGAACCATGATGAGCTCTGTAATATTGGATTTTCAAACAACTTTCAAACAGAGTTGGACTTTTTTAAAGAAATAGACAATTCGCACTGAAGGCTTAGATTTTTAAAGAATATTTTAAAAGATTACATTCTGCCCTTAATGCGTGGATTTTTCAAGTTTTTTTAAAAGGCTCTTAGGTTTTTAAAGGATTTTCAAAAGACCACAACTAGGTATTTTCAATGGTCATCACCGGCCTATTATTTTACGAATTTTCAAAGGCCATTCCCAGTTTTGTAGGTGTGTATTTTAAGCATTATATAGTCTCTGGAACTTCCTTAGACAAAAATTGCGAATTTCTCTTCCATTCTTGCTTTTTATTCTTCCTTCATTTTCTTACGCTTTTCATAATGCTCTAATAAATGTTGTTTTAACGTGGGTATATTTTTCGCTACATATGAACATTGATTGCACTTTAATTCCATATTGCCAAGTTCTTTCAAGGTGCTACTATCCAAACGTTTTACCTTATCATTTTCCTTTAGTTGGGTAATTAAATCTGAAAAACAAAGTATTTTTTCATTTAAATTTTCGTTGTGTGTGGAAAATCTGCTTATTTTTAATTACCTTCATAATTCAAAAATAATGCCGTATTAAAACTATTCCAATGTTTTTTGGTCTTCAGGCAATCCGATATAAAATCCTTGGATATTACATGTAAATGTAAACGTTGCATACTCGGCTGATTGTGGAAACCTATCAGGAAGTTATCTTTCTTTTCGCCTTTAACTTCAATTACATTTAAGGCCAATAAATGCATTTCTTGTAGAAGAGGAAGATTTTGTTGGGTGAGCTGGAAAAGTGAATTGATGAGTAAGATATTAAACTTGAATTTAAAAATCCAATAGAATTTTTAAACTTTTATGAACCAAAAAAGGAGGGAGAGGTGCGAAAATTTTGCAATCGTCATTATTTATAAATTAGTCTTTGTAATTGGTAGGATCGGATAGAGGAAAATTGATCTAAAATGTATACCACTGGTAGGTATTGGTATCCTTGGGAAATTTCATGCATTTCTATGATCCTGTCCCGGAAAATGGAATACAAAATTTTATTAATATCATATCGCTCATTTTCTGCACAATCGTGTTTTTAGTTATGTCTGTCTTGCAGCAAATGAGCGATATGATGCTCATTTGCTATTGCCGTTTATAAATTCCTATCAACCACAAAGACTAGATTACAATAAAAGCCCTTGAAGTAAAAGCACCGAAATTGATCCAGTAATTTTCCCAGAAGACCATTACGTTATTTCTGATCACACCAATCTTTTAGATTCCAAATCTTCACATCTTCCCCTTTTGAACTTGAACTAACATTAAATATTGAGGGTATGTCTTCGAACGGCAATACTAGATAATGATGTTTTGCTTTGGCATATTTATCTTGTATGACAGCAGCCAAACTATTTGATATAATATGGGTAGTGGGATCCTTGAGAGTTTTTACCAGGCCATTAGCCCAGGAATATGTTGTCATTTCTTAAAATGAAATAAAAATGAAACAAAAAATTAAATTGATATAAGGTTCGTTCGTTTACTCAATAATTTGTACGAATTTGTACAAATTATTACAAAATGTTGTTCGTTTACCCAAAAGTCCAGTAAAAGAGAGTGAATTGAGAGAGCAGATTTGACAGTTGTGTTACTGAGTATTTGCAAATTCTTACAAGGAAAATTTACTCAGTAAGAATTTTCTTGTACCATCAGCTGATATTTAATCAGATGTTTTGTTATGTTTTGTAAACAAACAAAAAATTGTTCTCAAGAAAATTGATTGTTTTGTGAATTTTATTTTGATTTTGTATCATTAAATACCAAAATGGATGAAGAAAACGCAAGTATTTAAAAATAAGAGTAATTGGCGAACGATTTTTTAGTTTCCAAATCGAAACAAAAAAGTGTGCATCCCTAACATGTCTGGAACACCATCGGTTATGTCCACCCCCATATCAATTGCAGATACAGGAATAACAGGTCACAACCCTTTTAAATGTTTATGGGGAACAAACAACATCAATTTTCCGCTTGTTATCCATTTTTCTAATAAAAATGCTGTCTTATAGTTTGCGCCAATTTGTTTGTTGTTTTAATCAGCTGTGTCGAAACAATCTTTTTACTGGATGTTGTTCGTTTACTTTTTGCAGTTTTCTCTCTTGAAAAGGAAAAATTCGTATTTACTCTCTGCAAATTCTTACTGAGTAAATATTACTGGGAAAGTAAACGAACGAACCTATAGGCAACGACTGTATGAACAACCAACACCGGACATAAACAAGTAACAGCTGTGTAACATTGTGTCCTTAATTCATAGTGAATGTCATTATACATTAAGCAGTGTTGTCAAACTGTTGTGATGTATGAAACCAAAATGAACATTTAATTTTTTAATAATAAATTATGATTTTGTATCAAAGGAAGAATAAGTCAGTCATTTGAGGTCCTTAATATTAATTCAAAAAATATATATACCAGAGTGAACAGAATGTGTTATCACACTGCAATGAATGTTCAACATAGATTAAACACTGAAGTACGCGAGCCACACATGAAATTGTATTATTAGGATAATGTTTACTATTTTATATATAAGTGTTAGCCATTTCGTGGTTTCAAAAGTATATGCAAATAAAACACATATAGATTATTAGAATAGAATATTTTTGTCATGACATATTTATAGCAAATAATCGGCAAAAGTGAAGTTTAGGGGCTCCACTCGGAATCTGTATGAAAGTAGTACGGTAAATAGTCTTCGTTGAGCTGATTACAGTGGTGGAAATGCATAGTTCCCAAGCCTTGAAAGTTCGGAAAAACCCTTGGTTTAAACTAGCCGTCCGAAAATTCAGCCTTCACGAAGAAACATCCGACAACGGCTTAATGGTTATTGACTTCGCGGCAGCAAAGCAGCACCAGGTTCAAGCATCTCGATATACACAAGGCCACCTGGATTTCTCCTGATCAAGCAACAAAAAATCAAATTGATCATGTTGTGATAGACGGAAGGCATTCATCCAGTGTACTAGATGTACGATCGATTCGAGGAGCGAATACCGATTCGGACCACTACCTTGTAGCAGCCAAGGTTCGGTTCGGTGACGGTATATAGTGTATACCACCTAGTCAACATGACGTCAGAATAGACGTTATCAGCTGAAGAACAATAAAGCAGCAGGTGCCGATGGGTTACCAGCCGGACTATTCAAGACTGGCGGTCAGATGCTGGTCAGGAGCATGCACCAGTTGTTTAGAACAATTTGGCTAGAGGAATGCAAGCCAATGATTGGAGCCTCAGCATCCTGTGTCCCGTGCACAAAAAAGGAGACAAGACGATTAAGAGGAATTAGCCTTCCTCCCACAGCTCATTGGATAGCAAGTTATATCCAATGAGCTGTGGTTCACACAGATTGAAGCCAATGGTCAATAACTTCAGGCCTAAAAAATCCACCATTTCACTCTGCGCCAACTCCTGGAAAAGACCCACGAAAACACATCGACACATACCACCTATTCGTCGACTATAAAGCCGCATTCGACAGCCCTATCCGTACAGAGGTGTTTAAAGCCATGTCTACGTTCGGTATTCCTGCAAAATTAATACGGCTTTGCAGGATAACTTTAAGTGGCATAAGGTCAGCAGTTAAAGTCGGAAAGGACCTATTGGAGACCTTCAATACCGAACGAGGATTCAGACAAGGTGACAGTTCATCGTGTGATCTTTTTAACATCCTGTTGGAAAAGGTCATACGGGACGCAGGTGAACAGAAATGACACTCTGTACACCAAACAACACATGTTACTCGCCTACGCCGATGACATCGATATAATGGGTCGAACATTGCGAGCGGGAAGAGCCACCTTTGAAAAAATTGAGAAGGAGTCTGCCAAAGTAAACGGCGATTAGACCAATCTGATGGTATCAATGCGCAAGACGTCCAGTAGACTCGGACTAACCGTGGAACTTGAGAACTACAGCTTCAAGGTAGTTAAATATTTTAAATACCTTGGTGCCGCCATAAATAAAACGAATGACATCAGTTTTGAAATTCGGAGAAGGATTGTGATGGCTAACAGATGCTAGTATGGCACTTTACAAGACGCTGATACTATCCGTGCTGAAATATGGATCTGAAGCATGGGTACTTGCACAAGCAGATGAGGCAGCTCTTTGGGTGTTTGAAAGAAAAATTCTCCGAAAGATCTGCGTCGACGGTGTATATTGGCGTCGAATGAACCACGATCTTTACAATTTATACGCGGACATCGACATAGTCATTCGTATTGAGTTGCAGCGACTACGGTGGCTAGGCCATGTTGTGCGAACGAATGCGAATGCCCCAGCTCAAAAGGCATATAAAAGCGACCCTACTGATGGTTCCGGTAGTAGGGGAAGGTCAGAAATTAGATGGAAAGACCTAGTAGAAAACAACGTCTTGGAACGTGGTTTTTCAAATTGGAGGAGATGCGCACAAGCCAGACGCGCTACGAAATCTTTTTTTGAGCTCGGCTTAAGGGACAACCGTTTTGTAACAAGCCTGCTTACTACATAGCAGGCTTGTTACAAAACACTTGTCCCATAAGCCGAGCTCAAAAAAGATTTCGTAGCGCGTCTGCACTATTTTTCCATCGTCTGCAGATTTGGGAATATATCAAAAATAAATGTCAAACATTTCACAAATGGTGTTTTATTTTTTTTCTGGTTCCCTATATATCGTAAAGTTCAAATTGTATTATCGTATTTTTTATTTCAATATAATGTGTACAAAATTTTCCTGCTGGGTCGTTTTACATAAATCAAAAATGTCATATCGAACTTGGTTAGAGTATTACAATACAATTACTTATTATTATACTGTTACGAATATAACTTTAGATTTAAGTTAATTTAGATGAATTCCGTTAATTTAAGAATTTGAATTGTAACGTAAATTTCTACTACGCAGTTTATTTGAATAACTTCACAACAACAACCACTGTATAGATTTTTCTACATCCTTCCATTTCCTCTTTCATTTTCTATTTTGTTATTGTCGGACAATTCTTGTTAAATGACATTCCTCTTTCTTTGTTATTCCCTCGCCTGTATATGTGTTGTTGTTATTCCTCTTTCTTTGTTATTCCCTCGCCTGTATATGTGTTGTTGTTATTGTAAGTTTGTTTACTCAAGTTTGTTGTTGTTATTGTTCACTCAGTAAGTTTGTTGTTGTTATTGTTACTCAATGTGTTTGTTGCATTGGTAGATTGTTCGTGATCTAGGTGTTACCAGATCGTCTAGAAACTTCTGTAGCGACAGGCAGGGCTCATATAAATAGAGGGAATGGAAAGGCAGTGAGTCAGTTGTGAATCTGATCGCGAATTGAAACCGTCGTGTAAAGTAAAGTGCAAAGTAAAATTGTGTGAATAAAATCATTGTAATAATCGTACTCCGAAAGAACCTGCGTTTTATTTGGTACGAATTGTATCGGGAAATAAAACAACGTCTACACGGGATTTAGTAAAACCCAAGAACGTAACAATTGGTGTAGGAAGTGAGATTACGATAATACTACGATGAAGTTTAAGGATCTACGAGTGGAAGACTTGAAGAAGGAGCTGAATAAATTGGAATTGTCCTCTACTGGCAACAAGGCTGAACTACAAAAACGTCTGTTGGATGAGTTCGAGCGCCGTGGTATGAACATCGATACATATGAGTTTGACAGTAAGGATGAAGTGGATTTATCGGAAATGAGCGAATCCAACGGTGGGGAAGTCTCGTCAGTAGCTGCCAGGGGTGACGATTTCAGAGAAATGCTGGCCAAAATGTTTGAGGAAAATTTCAGAAGGAGCGAAGAGAATTCCAGAAAGTTAGAAGAAAACACGAGACGAATGTTCGAAGAAAATTCGAGAATAACGAACGAGAAACTCGAGTACATTACAGAAGTTATTGGAAGGAGAGTGGAAACCGTGGAGGTCCAAATTAAAGATTTGGATAAGAAAGTGCAGTCGGTTGACGAGAAATTTCTGGCCCACGACCACAGGTTTACGAATCTGGAGAAGAAAATTTCGGAACTGGAAATTAAAGGTGGTCCGGTGCGAGCTCCTGATAACACACTAAAAATCAAACCTCCTGTATTCGACGGCTCTACGTCATTCAATGTTTTCAAGTTACAGTTCGAGACAGTGGCTTCTAGAAATTCGTGGAACGACAGCGACAAAGCGGTTGCACTACTTCTGGCATTGAAGGGCAGTGCTGCGGATGTTATACAGAGTATTCCTGTCGCTTCTAGAAGCAACTATGAAGATGTTATTGCTGCACTGGAACGTATGTACGGTGGCGAACATAAACAAAACATCTACCTTATGGAACTAAGGGGAAAAGTACAGAGGGCAAACGAGACGCTACAAGACTTTGCAGCTGAGGTGGAACGTTTGGTGCTAATGGCGTATCCAGGAGAGAATCACCCATTGCTGGACCGTATGAAAATCGAAACCTTTGTG